ATCATTATCTTTTTAGAAAAGCTACTCTGTAAATGGACTCCTCACAAAGCATTTTCTAGTTTATAAGAAAAAATTATTTTGTTCAGCTTTCCCAGTCAATATAGGACATTGGACCTATTGGTAACTATAGATTTTTTCCCCCACGTTTATGATGAAAATAGGAATATGTTAACAGCAGAAATACGAGGTTTATATGTTTAAAGAGCAACGAACGGATTCCTAGTGCCTTAGCGACTACGAGAGGACACCATTCGAAGGAATTTGACAGTCTGTTATTTATATTAATGTTGATTAACTATTAAACGATATTTTCAATGTTCAAAAAATATTTATTATCAATAATAAAACGAATGAATGTCAAACACGGTGCCTCGACATTATACATGTATGTGCGGAAACAACATTCCATGTAATTTTTTTTTTATTTTCTCATCCACGCAGGTCCATAATTCTGGCTAGTTTATTCCAAAAAGCTTTCTGAAGATGTTTATAGAAAAAAAAACACACACACACGTAGGTATGAAATTGTTTTAAAATGACCGTGGTATGAAACAGGTGCCCGCTCCATTTTTGTTTGTTTGTTGTTTTTTGTTTTGCAAAAGACTTTCATAATGTTGGTATACAGTAAAGATTTATTCCATATATTTCACTTATATCCCGTCTAAGAAATTATTTTCTTCTATAAAATACACGCATGGCGAAGTGCGATTTGAAGAATCAACGCGGTTATTTTACAATGTTACACAAACAAAACGCTGCGCCGCTAATTTCTTTCACAGAGGTGTAGGATGTGGAGCTCAAAACGATTTTAAAATAAAGAAATGCATATTTGTCAATCCCAGCACATGTACTGATCATGTATATATATATAAATACTAAATATAAGCCGTTTTGAAAAAAAAATCATATTTCAACGTCTATAATAATACACAAGATAAAAATGTTCGCCGGAAAAAATCCGCACACCTACCGTCAAAAACACCATGTATTTTATTCCGTTTCCAATATTTTCACATAATCCTTTGGCCCCGACACAGAAGATATAATTCTTCATGATGATGGTCAATTTTAAACTTCAACATCAATATAAACAACGCAACAGCCGAAATAAACATCGAGATTATCGCCGTCAAAATCTTTCGACAAATTCAAACGTGGCACCCCAACGTTGACAAATATACATTTCATTTGGATTTTAAAGGCGTTTTGAGCACCACACCCAAAGTGTCTGTGATTTCTTTGATTCTTGTCCAATCATATAAGATTTAAGGGTTATGCAACACGTTTACTCATTTTAATTGATTGCTACTGCCCCAAGTATTAAAGTTGTTGCTTTGGAAAACGAACTTTTTTAAAATCGGCAAGAAAACACGGCGCCTCTTCAGTTCTTTTTTTTTTTTCAATAATTTTTAACCTTGTAGTCAATTTAGATAGAAAACCAGAAAATAGTTCCTAAATATTAAATGAAAAAGTTGGTATATCTTGCGTAAATTCAGAGTCGGGAAAATATACCGAGGAAACTCGTGACCGTAACACATTTAAATTCTTACCACCGTTTAAACAATTTTCATAAATGAATTTTAGAAAGAAATTTAAGCATAAGATTATCGTCTTTAAAATGAATCATCATCAAGTATATTTATAATTATAAATTGAAAAAATAAATACATGTAATTACAATCTAAAAATAACTTTTCTTTACAACATGTTAGCATGGAAAATTGTTTAACTGATTCCGGATAGGAATCACGGCTCCAATTTAAATACTTATCTATAAATCAAATTTATTTAAAACTTAATCTTATAAATTTTAAGTTGACACAAAGAATTTAAGTAAGGAAGAAACAGAACTGCGCAGTGTCAACATTTCCGAACTGTATATTGGTTAGTGTACCGGTGTCGGCGTTGTGGAATAGTTGACACGTAACGTTTCAAAAATAAATACATGGTTGAATATATTTTCTATACCGGATCAAAAACTTTTCTGGAACATCGCTTAAACAACACCCAAATATCCAGGCCATTACGGCATGCTATGATTATAGTCTTTTATTACACGGATAAATGGTACATGTACACGCAGACAAACGAAAAATGGGCGCTCGGAGTAACGAGTTTTACTTTTCTGAAAACTGTTGAGGAATGAAAAATTAACGCAAGAATTTACCATTTGAATTCAAAAAATCTTTCATAGCGTAATGCACGTTTGGAAAACAAAACTTTCCTAGGCAAGGAGTTGCTGTTTTTAATACGCAGCAAGTTGTAACTAACAAAATTATTCTAACATAGATAATACTACAGAGTGGTGACAATATAAATTTTAATGAAATACAGTATTTGTTTATCCTTTAATAAACATGTTTATTAAAGGCCCATTATGCCTCAGAAAAAGAGGTCTAAATTAAAAGTTTCTCCGCATCATTTTAAAGATTTCAATCAATTAGAAAAAATAGTTAAAGATTATTTCCTGGCAATTTATTTTAATGTAGCAATAAATATAAATAATAATAACAAGATTAAAGAATAATAAGCACTGTTTAACAGTTTTTCATATTTTTTTTTGCCACGCAAAAAAAAATGACAACATTCACGCACGGTACCGAACAATATCGATTTTTAGCGTACATGTTACATTACTGTAGCAACATCACAATATGGCGGCGTTGGTACACAAACGAGACGGTGAAATGAAACTAACGTGGTTTACTTTCTTCTAAGTTGATAGTCTAGCACTTTTTGTGCTGTTGACTCCTTAAAATTGTATTGTTGAATAGATTCTTAGTTTAAATTGTCTGCATTTTTACATTAACATCGAAATCCACGTTTCACCACAGAAAGGTCTCCTTTTGGTTTTGACGTTAAAGCGAGATTCTGCCCCAGAACGAAAATATCTCAGAATCAAGCTTTGGCACGTCAATATATTTTGACTATGGTTAGGGGAAGTAATCACTGCGGGGTTTTGGTTCTCGGCATGAAAATGAAAGCGCAAAACAGTGCCGAAATTCATTCCAGTCGTCTCACATCAAAGGAAAGTGTACGTTGTTATCTTTATGAAATTATGATATTTTAGGGACTTTTTTAAACGTGGTTAAAATAGCGGAAAACAAGTTTTGTGTTCAAGACATGTGACCAGGTCGTAATAATATGCAAAAATATTTTGACGTACGGTTTGCTCGATAAAAATAGGCATGGTGTATACAAGTGCGGATCAAGAAGGGGAGCCACGCACATAACTCCAAGTGTCTGTGTGGAAAACTGCATAATTTTTAAAGAATTTTTCTTTTGGTCATGATAATCAGTCTTACAATGGGCCCTGCTATAGAAGGAAAAATAGGCTTGCTATCTATCCATCCATCCTGCAACCTTTTGAGTATTATGTGCAGGTGCGTGTCTGTTGGAGAGTAATAATGAAAAGGAGAATAAAGTTGCTCAATTATACTGTACTGGTTGGGGACCACCAAAACCGGACAACCACCAAACTCGGACAGCCCCTCGTATTTTTGAGCATTAATGTTACCACTGACTTTCACTAGAGTACCAACACCATGCCAAGTGACACACCCCCATATCATTACTTTGATCACCTTCTTGGTATTGGAAGATTTCGAAGTCAATAAATCAGGTCCATATTAAAACTCTAATGTCACTGCCTATTACAACTTGACTTTCATCAGAAAATATCACACGATCCCATTCACTACTACTTTAGACCTTCTTTTCTCTCTACACCAAGAAAGGCGCTTTGCTCTATTCACCTTTGACACAATAACCCTTTTCTTACTCACTCAAAGTCTATGTTTATGTAAACGATTTTGAACAGTTCTCTTACAAACTGGCTTTGTTCTCCCCTCATTAAATTTGCTCATTATGTCTGCTAATGAAGCCCGACGATTGCACTTCACAGTCCTTTCAAGATGGCGATAATCTCTGTCTGTCGTCGAGGACGGCCTGATCTTTGTATGTTTCTCACTGATCCTGATAATTAGAATTCTTTTTAAACAGATGAAATGGTACTGTGAGGTTTCTGTAAAGTTCTCGAAATTTCCGCTATTGACATTCCATCATTATACATGCAAACAGCAATATTTTTTACATCAAAGGTCAATTCTGAACCTTTTCTACCCATTTTAAAATAAGCGCAGAAGTAAACATTCAGTGACGTTTTTCTGGCATAATTTTATGTCAGCATGTTTTTCCAATAATTTATCTATAAATAGACTACACAATAAACAGCCAAGGTCATTTAAAATCGTTATGGTGCAAGGGAAAAAAATCTCTTAGTAATGTCCTCATGACGTTATCTCCCATATTAACAAATACTTTTTTCATCTTTCTGTAAATTAAGTTTTTGGTGATAAAATCAAACTGCAGACGCCATTTCAACCATTATACTGTGATGAAAACCGGAAATTGGCCTTATGACTAGGTATAAAACTTTACCGAATGCATATGATTCGACAGTAGCATTCGACAATATTTTATACATACGTGTTCGGTAATGTTTTATAATTGGCCAAGAGGTTGATATTCTAGCCAAGTGCGCATGTGCGTTGAATAAGTTTTCAGTTGATGTTGAAGATTATATAGATCTATAAAAAGAATGAAGAATGAACAAGAAAAATTAATCAAGGCCTGAGTCTCGCAAGAGTTTGTAAAAATTTGGTTGTATCTGACCAACACGGATTGTCAGATATAGTAAAAGATACTTTTAAACCAGGCTATTTTCACTCTAAGTCAATTCTACTGAAACATATTATTGCTTCACAAGAATTTTATTTTACATTAATGTTACAGCATATTTGTCTATTGTTTTTGCAAACTGGGATGTATATTGAAAAAAAAACTTCCAAAGATTAGGTTCTAAAACTTAATAAAAATATTTTCGATTATAAAAGAAAATTAACCTACTTACCCAACCTAAAGCTTGTACTGGGTGCAGGAGGGGGGGGGGGATTTAAGGCTGGTCTAATTGTATTGAATATGTTGTTTTCTATTGGCAGATAAAGGATATGAGTTAACATTTAAGACTGCTGATGATGGAAGCCTCTCACTTTCCAAATACGGAGAATTTCTGTATTCCAACCTTGTCATATTTGCACCATCTGTCGAAGGTAAGTTTATTATTATTTAACCTTTACCTTGTATCCCATTTATGATAATGTCAGACTGAATTAACTGTCAATTGTTTTATGTAATAGATTACAGTATAAAATTACATTTATTAAAGTTTCTTGTCAAATTGTAAATGTGCAGGTTGACATGGCACTGTTCTTTTCTTTGTCATTTATTTAAGATTAGAAAAAAACCTATTTGATAACAACTTGAAAATTATTTTTATTAACGTTTTGTCAAACTGTATTGTGCAAGTATCCTGGTACTGTTCTTTTCTATGTCGATGACATTCTTTTTTAAACCTATTTGATATAGCTATAAAATTATTTCCATTAGATTCATAATTCATCATAAGATTTATTGTCTTTATTCTCAGAGTTTGGTGGCAGTGTAGATGTTGCAGCAATAACAAACTTCATTGATAATGGAGGTAACGTGATGGTAGCAGCAAACTCTGCCATTGGAGATCCTCTAAGAGAACTTGCTACAGAATGTGGTCTAGAGTTTGATGATGAAAAGACAGCTGTGATTGACCATCTCAATTTTGATGTCTCAGATGAAGGAAAGGTAGGTTTGAAAAATAAGCAGGATTTTTTTGTTCTCTATTAGTTATACAAGTTGACCATATGGGAGAATATAGCCTGAATGAGATAAATATATGACGGGAAGGGCTAGCCGAAGATTATATTTATGCTGGAAAGGCTATGTGGGTTTGATCCCCGGGAGATGCTTTGGTAGTTTAGCACAGAGGAAGGTAGTCTAGTACTGGTGTAACTCTCCAGGAACAATGGTTAGGAAACTATACGCCTATATGACTGAAATACTGTTGTGAAAAGGCGTAAAATTAAACAAACAAACAAAAACTATTTTCTCCCATATGTCTTGGCAGTACTTGTATAACAAATTAAAAATTACTCAAATTGCTAATGACGACACATTTCATAAGAAAACCCAGCAACTTGAGACTGTTGTCAAACAATTGTGGGGAAAAGAGCACATAATCAATGGCTACACTAATATTGCACAATAAAAAGTAATTCAAGTATACAGTCATCATTGTGGTGTACCTTTAAACTTTTTTGTTTTGAAGTAATTACATTTTAATCAAGAAATGTGTCATTAAGAACAAAACGCAAAAGACAAAAATATTTTGCACAAAGTAAATCATCTGTGATGTTGAAATATTTGTGCATGCTTCAGTTCTTCAGGTAAAAGTCTGGAAGTAAAGTTTTATAATAATTGTTCATCTTAAAAATAATGCATTGGAGAGTAAATATAAAACATAAATTTTCAGATATTTGTTGTTTTGATAATTTATGAATATTTACCTAGAATGGTTATTATTTCAGCACACAACTATTGTAGCTGATGCAGACTACCTCCTTGATGCTCCTATAATTGTTGGCAAGAAATCAGCGTCTCCATACATCTACAGAGGAGTTGGGTAAATATCTGATTACATTTTATCTAAACACACATTTTGTTTTGTTATCATTTACTCACCTTTTAATGTAACTTAACATGTATTTAACTTGTAATTCTGTTGATTAATCTATTGATTTATTTCGATGCACGCTTATTAACTGACTTAACTAATTAAGCCCATGATTTGAAATTTATTTCGATGCACGCTTATTAACTGACTTAACTAATTAAGCCCATGATTTGAAATTTTGCATAGTACAGTAGTCATTTTGAACACTGCTGCGGGCACTGCAGAGGATATTCGCTATGTTTTTAGCTTCAGAGTGTGAACATCTAAAGTTGTTTTCCCACTATTTCCTGTGAGTGTTTATTGACTTAAACATGCTTTAAAACTGAAGCTTAAAACTTCTATATTACTGAAATAGTGACATTTTGACTTAAAATTAACGAAGTATTTATTTTGTTTGTAGAATGGTTGCCGACCCAGAGAACCCACTTGTGCTTCCTTTGCTTCATGCCAGCTCATCGGCTTACAGCTACCAACCTGACATGATAATAGATGACTACCCGCTGGCAGTTGGTACCAACACACTGTTGGTAGCCGCTCTACAGGCTCGTAACAATGCTAGAGTTGTATTTGTGGGCTCCATTGATTTCTTCAGTGATGAATTCTTCTCCTCATCCGTGCAAAAAGCCAACGGAGGAAAAAAGTAAGTTATAATCTCTAGCTTACTGATGAATCTTACTTTAAATATCCTGTATGTTATAATTAAGGATGTAACAACACTTAAGTAAAATCTTGTACGTATATATATTATGTATATAATTATTCCTCTGTAAAACAATTTTCAATCATAATGCTTCATTTTAGCGTTATATTTATTATATAAAACCATAAAAAAATTGAGTTACAGGATCTTTAAGTGAAATCTTATATGTATATAATTATTCTCTAAATCAATTTTCAAACATCCGAGAATATGTTAAATGTGTACTGCAAATGTTAATACGAGTTATATGTAATCATTAAAATATATGCATTTGTTTCTTATTGAAAAATTTGGCTTAGCCTTTATAGAAAATAAATTCAATAGATGACATTGTTTAAAGCAATAACTGCTATTTATAGATACGAGAAAGCTGGTAACCAGGAGCTTGCAATGAATCTTGCTGACTGGGTGTTTAAGTCCCGTGGAGTGCTCAGAGTTGGAGAAGTCAAACATCACAAACAAGGAGAGAAGCAACCACCACAGGCCTACACTATCTTTGACATGGTGGTATGTATAAATACTTAGTTTTCATCAGCCTTAGACTAGTATTTCCCCATTTTAATGTTAAAAAATTTCTAGTTTTTCAAAGAAAGAAATTTTGAATGTGTTCTTATTATTTTTAATCAGTTTTAGTGGGTGTACAAGATCTTACAAACCAAAAAAGCTAGATTGTTAAGTGTCAAAGTACGATTTGTAAGACAAAAAAACAACAACAAAAAACAGGAGCCTTTCTTTAATCTGAATATTGCTGGAATGGTTTTATGACTCTTTAAGATTTTCAAGTTTGTCAATTTTCAACAGTTACAGCCTCACCAGTTTTAATTTTAGAATTTGACATTCAATGACTGCAGTCTGTTAAGCAATAATATGATCAAAAATTCTGTTTTAAACCGTAGAAAAGTTTTTAGTTTCAAATTATAATTTTTTTGTCAGGACTATTCGATTGAGATTGAGGAGTTCCGTGATGGTAAATGGCAGTCATTCAACGGCAAGGATGTCCAGCTGGAGTTTGTCAGAATTGATCCATTTGTTAGAACTACACTAAGTAACAAAAGTATGTATCTTCTTTTATATAGATCTTTATCAAATACTTTTATTAATATGTCGTTTTAAGCTCAACTGTTTAAAGAACTTATGTACTTTCTGAGACTTCAGAGTCACATTTGCTTAAGTTGGATGGAGGTTGGTATCTCCAAAACTAATTAAAACTTCACACACTTTTTTGAGAGGATAGTTTAAGGCCCGTTGCTCTGACGTGGATTATCATAATTTATGCCCTATTTGAACCTAAAAAATTCTATATTATCCAGGCTCTTGTTTTACTATCAAGCACTGAGAATAGTTGAGCAAGTTTTCCTACCGACAGCTCTTTGTTTGCATATTAATTTGTTATTGAGTGTAATGTGCCCCTGTTTGCCTATTAGATCGTCTAGATTTGCTTGTCTTTAGTATTTAAGTCAAAAATTACCATAACAATGAAATTTAAGCTTTGATTAAAATAACATGCAGAACGGAAGTATAGAGATAAAATTTGTATATTTGTCATGTAATTCAACCATATTTATTGGCAACTATTTGTCAATATAAAAGAAAATTATCATATGTGTATATGATAAAAACAACTAATTTATTTGTCATTTATGTTAGTTGTAATATAAATGGTTATAATTTTAGATGGTGTGTTCAAAACAACATTTAAGTTGCCAGATGTGTATGGTGTGTACCAGTTCAGAGTAGATTATAATAGAATGGGATATACTCATCTCTTTAGTACAACACAGGTAGGTTAAATTGTCAGATATAATTAAAATGTTTATATACGGTTGCTTTTTTACCTTTCATCACCCTGGGTGGTTATAAAAAGATCTTTTCCACCAGTATAGAGCCAGCACAGCCATTTTATTGACACAGTCTGATCAGCTACAGTCAACTTTAACTGATTATTACTTACTTTTAGTACTAGGACATTGAAATCATTTTCCATGGACTAAATTTAGTGCTATATTCACATCAGGCAAGGTTTTATTACAGAAATTGTGGAACATAAATGTAAATAGGTAAACTATCTGGTCAAAATATGAGTTGCAAACTCTGAAGAGTCTTGACATATATCCATACTGATAAGCCATCTGGTTGTTTAATGATCTGTTTCATGTTTTACCAAAGTAATGTAGGTCCGCTATTTCTAAAAAAAATGTAGTCACATGACTCTAATAAACTGTCAGTTTATTTAAGTTGTATTCTTGTAATTAATTGATGTCCCTTGTAGGAAGGAAATTATTTGGTTTACACAGCAGTGCTATTTCCGTTAATTTGAAATGAGGATTATGTGTTAGTAGAAAATCTTATTTGTTTTAAATATGGTTCTTGATCTTCGAGATAATGTCTTGATATCTTTTCACCTTAATGGTTGGTACCTGCACTGAGACAAATAACATTTGAGCCGCGTCATGACAAAACCAACATAGTGCATTTGCGCCCAGCATGGATCCAGACCAGCCTGCGCATCCGCACAGTCTGATAAGGTTCCATGCTGTTCACTATCAGATCCTCTACTTGTTATAGGGTTTGTAAGCGAACAGGATGGATCCTGATCAGACTGTGCGGATGCGCAGGCTAGTCTGGCTCCATGCTGGTCGCAAATGCATTACGTTGGTTTTGTCATGATGCGGCTCTTTTATCTGGTAATATTTTGCTAGGTTGTGATTATCATGTTGATCTCAAAATATGTGAATTATGAATGTTAGGAAAGGGTTACTGTCATACAATTAATTATTATTTTTCAGGTGTCTGTCCGTCCACTACAGCACACCCAGTATGAACGTTTTATACCAACAGCTTACCCATACTATGTTAGTGCATTCTCCATGATGGTTGGAGTGTGTGTATTCAGCTTAGTGTTCCTACATTTCAAAGATGAACCCAAAGAGAAAAAAGACTAACCATGCTCAACTTTAGTTTAATTAATTTACTTAGTAATAATTAGGATAAAAATTTAGTTGTAAGAACGAAATGAAATTTTCTTTTTTGATACGTTTTTCTATGTTAGGTATGATATAAAAACATGACTGAAGTATGGCTTTGTGTGTAAATTTTGATTGAAAATAATTAAATGATGTAGGTAAACATTAAAAATGTGCAAATGTGTATTCTTCATTATAAACTTATCAAAGCATTCCAGAATCGTTAGTCATATGAGTTTAAACAGTGCTGTTTATCTTTGACAATATTTCTGTGACTATTTTCACATACCATCTATGTTTTATACCAGAAAAATAAAATCTATGCAATTATTAAATAGGAATCAAATAAGAGCATTTTGTGTGATTAGTTTTGGTTTATGAACTTTCTTGTTAAAGATATATTAACATCATAAATTTTATAGTTATGCATGCCAACCAAAGACAAAATTACTTTTACTGAAATCCATCTTATTTGAAATTTAAAAAAAAACTTAAACATCATAAAAACATTTTTTGATATATTGATTCAACAGTTGTTTTAAACGAAAGAAATAAAAATAGAAACTATTCATGTTTTTGTTGTTGGTTTTATACTTTAGATATATCTTACTTTCATAAAGTTACCCTAACTTATACAATTATTTCGGAACTGTTTGAGTCAAAAGTAGTTAGGGTTTCTGATTACATAAACCGCTTTTGATATTCTGCCATTGACCTATTCTCCCCCAGCTACCTAAGGTCGGTGTTTCTAAAACCCACTCGTGCCTGAAATCCTGCCGACAGGGACACATATTTAACTATTCCAAGAAGTAAAGGTTGCGGGTGACTAAAACCCATCAATTCTGGAGTCGATATAATATAAGTTGTGAACCATCAGAATTACATATTGATGGTTTAGCAACATTTGTAATTTGTTTACTAGTTGATGTCTCATAAAGTAATTAATGTATTATTGTTTAGGATCGAGCATTGCAGTCACAATTGATACAAAGTATCACCAGGGTCCAAACTTATAAATATATTTTCTAACCTCAAACTCAGATATTTGATTAGTCAAAAAATGGCAGAGAAATAATGAGATTTGAGAGGGATCTCGAATAAAATATAGCCGTGAGCCTTTAAAGATGTATTTGCGTTAAACAAACTGGCTTTTGTTAAGAATGCCAAGCAGGAAAAAATTGGAAATGATTGAGCCACAAACCTATGGATAGATTTTAATAGTCAAAATACATGACAATATGAAGCCCAAGATTGCAGGGTCTAAATGTTTACAGATAAAGAAATGCTCAAAGATTTGTATTTTCTTTTTGTTCTTCAAATCCGTAATTGATATTTTGAGTAGTGGAGTCGATAGTTGTTTCAACATGTTCGTCCTCCAAACTTGTTGTCTTTGTCTCGTCGTTATCAGTCGTCCCCACTTGTATATCCGCTTCAAAATCTTCATCTCTTGCCCAGTCCTGTTATTAAAATGTTGAAGTAGTAACACTTTAATCATTTATCAATCCACAATTGTTCATATATGCTACCAAAAATATGCTTATAAATATACTCGATCAAATAAAGTTAAATATAGCTACTACTTAAAGTGCTCCAATAGAGAAGATGCTTTGAATGTTTTTAACTACATGATTGTACTTTATTTAACCCTTTCCCTCATGAGCATATTGTGAAAAATGGCCGTTTTCATTGAAAAGCCTCCTGTTACAGGTTCAAACTGCTATGAAAAATGCTTCAATACTAATGAAACTTGGCACACATGTTGACTGGACCATAGCATATGTAACAGCATGCTCAATCTTTAATTTCCTGTTACCATGGCAACGGGGGGGGGGCGTCTCAAAATTGTCAAAAATCACTGTTTTGCATTGATTTTTTCCATCAAAACTGATTTCAAAGTGCTGCAATTGAGATGGAGTAAAAGGCTTTTCAGCGTTGGTTACACGTTTACCATACGATTGACCTGAGGCCATTTTTAGACTGTCACATGTCCAAAATTTTCTTGGCGAGGAGGCCTACCGCCGGGCACATCCCCCCTGGCAACCCCCTGATTAACCTTTTTGTTAGGGGCGGCGCCGAAAAAGTGATCACTTTTTTAACAATATTTCCCAAAAGAAAAACAGTGTTTGGGGCCTAAATAGGGTATTTTTCACTGTTTGAGGCCTCAACGAAAGGGTTGGGGTCGAAAAGCCGTCAAAACACGTCTATATGAAGTAACGGGTTAAGACTAGTCCATATTTTAATTTCATGATGTCTCTTATGCATTACACCATAATATGCATTGCTAGATTTTCATAAAGTCCTGTTATGACCTTTTAAAAAACTTAGCCATTTGGGTTTAACTGCAGACAAAATATTATCCTTTCACAACGACCAATTACCAAGGTCTGCATGGATGTACAGGATGGCTTGGCTATAATTGGTCCTCGACATGGTCAGTTAATGGTATTGTCCTGTGGTTTGAAGCGACGGTATGGCTTGACAGCAATTTTGTCGCATTTAAGAACCCGTTGGGAGTGAGTAAATAATATTTACCTTAATGGAATAGAAAATGAACCCACCTGCATCTCTCCAGATCCAAATATACAAAATATAAGAATACCAAATGCATCAAATCCAGCACATACATAAAACACGTTCCTCCATTCTTCAGGCGTATTCTGAAAAAAAGGAAAAAATCCGGATATCACCTTTTAGTTAGCAGTTACGATTCTAAGTTAACATCAAGCATGATTTACCGTGTCACACTGCCTACTAAAAATTATCATTGATAAAAGTTTTTGATATGTCCCGGACTAAATCTAGCCAAGATTGAGTTGAATTTTAATTAACTGCCCTTATATGCTTAAAGAAATGCTATCATTTTTGTTTCTCAAAAACTTACTGCATAAACGTCAAATAAATTAAACAAAGGTAGCATTAAAGATAAATGATACTCTTACATTTGGAGTGAGATAGCCGGCCAGAAGTGGTGCAGTCATTCCGGGAATAGTTGCAATAGTGTTAGTGATTCCAAATAGAACACCTGCATACCTGAAACATATTTCAAAATAATTTTATTAGTACCTTTAATTGAAAGTCATTAAAGGAATCGTCAACGAAAGTCGGAGCTAAAATATTACATACTTACAATACTGCATGTCAAATGATCAAATTAATTATATGTCTACAGTCATTTTTACAGACTTTGTCGGTTTGTGTGCTTAAGATTGTAATAACTACCCACCTCTCTTTACCAGATGGATCTGGTGTCTTCCGTCAGAAGAAAAATAGAATCTGCATGTCAAAATGTGGTTTCTGGTGAAATTTGAAATTACAGACACCTACCGGTACATTGTTGATGATGTACATGTTATTTAATTTCCTAAAATAAATAACTTACTTTGGTGCAAAGTCAACGTGATTAACCACATAACCAGCTCGACCAAACCCAGTAAACATTACAGCTAGAGACAATAACGTAACAGCAAGTGTTCTGTGCTCACAGTCACAAAATCCCGTACCAATTAAACACCCTCCAGCGCCAGCAAATGCTAAAAACAAACGCCAAGAATGGTACCATATTACATTATAATGACTAGTAGAACTGTAAGGGTGAAAAACGCGAGCTGTATACGCTGTGAACGATGTAAATTAGCTACTATTAAAATAAGTGTTATCCTGAAACTTGTGATAGGAGCTTGAGCTTAATCAAAGCTTAAACTGTCTTTCTTTTGCTTTTTCTTTGAATTACGTTGACTTTGATTTGATCTCATAATAAAAAATCCTAGTGCTATATTAAGTCAAAATTATTTTACATCGGTAATGATGTTGATTTTTTTTCAGAAACAATGTGACACTGAACCATACAAAACCACTAATTGATTTATTAACTCTTTTCTATCTAAGTATTTCAATTTTAAAGGGAGTGATAGAACTTGCAGTTGACTAGTTATTTTTTATTATTTATTGATAAAATGCTCAAAATTCCTATTAAGTTATTTACCGAAAGTTTGAAATGATTTTCGAGTTAAAGTGGTGGAGAGGATTTGTCGTGACCGAAGGAAATCTGCAAACTGTCCGGCAAATATAGCAGAGAAAAACTGACAAAGGTATGGCACTGCAGATAAGCCTCCATTCTGAAAATAGTAAAGTAAAATCATATACAAATCCGTGAAGAGCACGTTCATTCTGTAGAAATAGTCATAAAAATCCGGGATCAACCGTACAATTAATATACATGTAATAAGGAAATTAATTGACATACTTACACGGTTTTGGCTTTCGTGGATTTTCTATTATGTCTAGCAAGAAAAAGACATGTACAAGCTTCAGATCAAGTTAAAGCCAGACTTGACATGTGCTTTCCATAGGATTGTCTCAAGAAAGGTCATAATTCTACAAAAAGTGTAGTCAAATGTTTCACATTCTATATGTACATGCATGTTAGTAAACGATCTCATCAATTGAACTCAAATTGGTTGAAGGGGGTTCTGCAGCTGTATTCCTATAGAACACATGTTGATGTGTTCCTTGCACATGTTGATGTGTTCCTCACACAGGTATAATATTGAGGTATAAACTGTTATATGTTAAAAGGAATATCTTTTTAAACATATATTGGATTGCCATCATACCTGGAGACAACAACCCTTCGGCTATAACTTTGTTATTAATGAATGGATTGTCTGCATACTTGGACAAAATAATTCTTAGGACAAGACCTTTATGTATATAGATTGTAGACTAAATTTATTATTACCTTCACTCAATGAGTCTTTTATTTTTTGTTGCTTTTCTATAATTGGCTATAAATTTGTTAGTTATGAATGGGTTGTATTCAAACTTGGACATTAATTAAACTCCCTATATTTAAGCAATACCGTTTTGTAGACACAATTGATTAGAACCTTCACTCATCAATTACATTGGCTTTGAGGGTAGAATTATTTGATTTTACTTGATTTTTAATATAACTGGTTATATCTTTGTTATTAATGAATGGAATGTCTTCATAATTAGGCACATCTACCGTGAGGACAACGTTAGAAAGAAAATTAAGCCCAATATGACACTGACTCGTTAATGATATTGACCTTGAAGATCAAACTATTGTAATTTCACAGTTTTCCTTGCTATATTGGCTACAACATTGTAAGTTATAAATGGACTGTCTTCATACTTGGGCACCACACTCATAAAAGACGATTTTATTGTCATTGACCTTTATCTGACCTTGACACTAAAGGTCACATAAGTGAATTAGTAAACAATTGGCCATATATTTGATATTTATTTATGGAACTGGTTGTTATTTATTTATGGACCTGATTTATACGTGGACAAAAGAACACTTATACTATGACAAATATCGAATTTAGCTTAGATTGTCGTAACTTTGATTTATCCTTGGACAAAAATACCCTAATAACAAAACCGACATGTTGAATTATTCTGATATGACCCTGACCTTAAACTGAACTTGACCGTCAAGGTCAAATTATTGAAATTTGCTTATATTGTCGTAACTATATTTATTTCAAATTGGACAAAAGAACACATATGACAAAACCGAAATGTTGAATCCTTCTGATATGACCTTGACGTTTCTATTCAGACTGACTGTCAAGGTCAAATTGTTGAACTTTGCTTAAATAGGTATACTTTGTTATTCTTTTTTTACGAATTTTATTTATTCTTGGACATAAAAACACATATGACTAAACATACATGTTGAAATATTCTGAAATGACATTGACCTTTAATTGTTCTTGACCTTCATATCATAATATATTTTGAAGGTCAAATAAAGGTCATTTAATTATTATTGAAATTTTCTTAAATTGTCATTACTGTGTCTTTTATTAATAGATTTGATTCATACTGGGCAAAAGAACACATATGACTAAACCGATATGTTGAATCATTCTGATATGACCTTGACCTTTAATTGACCTGCAAGGTCTAATTATTTAAATTTACTTTAACTGTGATAAGTTTTAAATATAGAGCTGGAATAATCGTGCGTATAATTTATTTTTATATGACAACAAATAAACAAACGACAACAAAAGTCAATTCCAAAATGAATTTAATATCAATTTATCAAGATTTTTTTTCTACTGTGCAACATTATTTCCAAAAACATTTTAGAATCTTTCCTCGCCCTTCTTGCGCCATCCTCGTCTGCGCTGGCTGGGAGTTACCTGGACATCTTCTGCATCATTTGTAACAAACCTCGGCGTTTAGGTACATAATTAAATATTGGTGTAGTGCGCATTGTCTTAGCATATTTGCATTTTGACATACCCTCATAATTTGTAAACATCTCGCTACTTTGTCTTTTTCGGGCCAGGCGTCGGTCGTTTCTTATCTGTGTTTCTAACCTTTGTTTCTGTGCTAGTGTGTACAGGAATATACCTGAAGACAAAATAGACAAAAACAAATTAATTGATGAGAAGAAATTCGTTTCTGAAATAACTAAATTAACGATTTATTTCATTGATATACACGAAAGCTTTTTTGCAGTAACCGAAAAGTCTAAGACTTCCAAAATAAACTTCAGAGTCAGAGATATAATTTTAACAGTAAATTTTGGTTTGTTTTTTGTATTTTTTTCTTTTTTGGAAACAATATCACCTATTAAAATTTTTCTTTTTCTTTCTTGCCATTTTTTGACTTTTTGGTAAAATGTTTTGGGCATTGTGACCATAATCCGTCGCCGTTTGGCTGCAGGTAAATCCTCGTCAATTTGGCTTGATGAACGCTCTCTTTTCCCTGACCCGCCTCTAAAATTAAAACAAAACATAGCTCTACAAGTCAAGTGTTGGTCTTGTTAGAAAGACTCTAACTTGATAAAGTTCAGAATTATTTATTTTCTTTCTAGTACTCGGGGAAAAATAAAGTATATAATGTATTCTTCTTATTTCAACGATTCAGTTATTAATGCATTTGTTCAAGAATCTATACAAAAAACAGTTGAATTTTATTAGATCTATATTTTTCCTACCGAAAAAAAATCCAAACTTTTTTTGATAGACGTTTTGCAATTTTTATGTATGTTGAGAAAATTTGACTTACTTTAAGTACGTATGTAATCGTTCAATGCTTCGTGTTGTGGTTTTCATCGTTAGAAAATGTCGTAGCTCTATGCTGGTGCAAATGTTTGTAGTGTTAATGACGTTGTTGTCCCTAGCAGTTGACGTGCAAACGTCGACGTCAATTACGTCATAAATGTTTATTGCGTAGAATTAGGTAATAACATTATAATAGATAAATACTGGCACATGTCACATTGAGATTGTTTCGAGACTGATAAACCATTCCTTCCTTTGTTGATGAACCATGTCTAACGGCTGGGAATAAGGTGGATAGAGTATTTTTGTGTGTCCGCGCGCGCGGACTGGGTCATTTGAAAAACCCTGGTGCGGATGAATTCAAATTTACTTTCACCTTGTTATACTTGCAACTTTGTAGTGTATTTTAGCGTTATGTTTATACTGAATGTAATTTGAGATATATTAGAACGACTTAATTTATTGGCGTCTTAACAATGCTCGACTGAATAATTCAAAATATGAAAAAGAACACAATA